ATCCAAATGGGATGAGACTAAGTCGACCGTAGAGGGCGCCGGTGCTATTGACCTACTCGTCAATAACGCCGCCTTTGCCGCCCTAACACCGTTGGGTACTATCGATGAGGCGATTATCGATAAGTGAGTTGTAGTTTGTTCAGAAAACTTATATTTATTTCATAAATGAGGTTAGCAAAATAATTTTTATTACATTGGGTATTTAATATTTTTTATATTAGTTAATTATGTACAAACAAAAGTATACTTGTTTATACTGATTTTAGATTAGTATATTGAGCTAATTTAGACATTTGCATAAAATTATTAATAGATCATCCAATCCGGCATGGTCTAGTGGTTAGGATAGCTGGCTCTCACCCAGCAGGCCCGGGTTCGATTCCCGGTGTCGGAACACTTTTTGATGTATTTTTATTTATTATATGTTATTATTAAGGTTATTTTACGGGTAATATAATTTTGGTGTATGTTATATTACATAATGTAGCGTAATATTTCACATTTAGTGTAATTTAGTAAAATCACAAAATTAATTGTTTTTTAACTACCGATAGATCCTTATATCAGAATCAAAGCTGTAATGAGTTTATTAATTCATTATCACTTGTATAGTGATCTTTGATAGGAATTAAGCGGTTTTACTAATACTCGACTAAACTTTAACTAATTAACATACCTTAATTAGGTATAAATTGACATAATTTTAAGATCTAATGTCAAATTATTGCACTTTTTAATAAAGTATTGAATAATTTTTAATTAAAAAAAATTACACTAAATATGGCTCTTACAGGGATTTAATTTTACGTAAAATGCTTTTGAGGGTGTAATATTACACTGTACAAATGCGTAATATTACGCAACGTACAACCTTAGTTATTATACATTAAATTATAGTAAAACCTAATAATACAGGTACAGTACTGTATTGTAATTATGTAATCTAATTTACTTGTAATTATTGTATTACATGATCATGTATTTTAATTTTTAAATCAAATTATCCAATTCCCAGACATTTCGACATAAACGTCAAGTCCGTCATAAACATCACCCAAATCGTGGCCACGGGTATGAAGTCCCGCGGGACGGGCGGGGCTATAGTCAACGTGTCATCGGTGGCCGGTATGATAGGCATTAGGGACCACTTGGTATACGGGGCCACCAAAGGGGCACTGGACCTCATGACCAAAGTGTGGGCCCTGGAGCTGGGCCCGCATAACATCAGGGTCAACTCGCTTAACCCCACTGTGACCCTGACGGAAATGGGTGAAGTGGGCTGGAGTGACCCGGCTAAACGTGACCCGTGGTTGGCTCAGCACCCGATGCAAAAGTTTTGTAAACCTTCCGATGTGGCCCACACTGTACTATACCTGCTGAGCGATAAGGCCGATATGGTGACCGGGGTCATTATGCCCATTGATGGCGGGCTTACTTGTGTGTAGTAGATAATTTTATAAAAGTTATTTTTACTTGCTAATTTACTCTCATTTAAAATATCAATTGCGATATTAAGAATAACCAATACGTAATAGATTGCATTTATTTTTAAACTAGCCAATAACATATTAATATTAATTTACAGTTTTTGTAACTAGAATGTAGCCTAAAATAAACATACTTGTATTCAAGTTTAACTATCTAGATTAATTGATTGTAAAAATTTAAACTTATTTTTTAAATCTAATTATCTAATGCGGGTTCATCAATATAATCTGAAACAACAATTAGTTATTTTAAATTTGCTAATAATAAATCTATAATAAATATAATGCTTTTTTGAAAATATTTAAATATAACATTAAACATTAACTAAATATTAGTATTAACTGTTAAAGATGCAAATATTAATATACTGTATACATTTATATAACAATAATTATATTGAACGTTTAACAGAAAACGGGACATTTAAAAATAAAAGCAGTTGATTAGTAAGATTATGGGTAATAAAATTTATCTAATCTTTTAACTATTCAAGAAATAGCATTTAAAATTAATACAAACTTCAAAACTATTAAGACTTATCGTGACCTGAAATACATAATTTTATAAAACTTATTAATCCTTGCTAGTTTAGACAAAGCAAAATTTTATGCCACGATGTCCCTGTCCAATTTTGTGAGATTGCATTTATTTAAAAACTAGCTAATAACATATTTAATAATAATTTACAGTTTTGTAACCTAATGTAGCACAAAACAAAAAACATTCAATTTTAACTATTTAAGACTACTTAAAAGTAACTCGTTGAATTATTTTTTAATTTTAATTAGTAAATACGGTATAAACGATAAAATCTGAAACAACAAATTATTTTTACTAATCATTTTCTAAAATAGCAGTCCTATTCAACTACTTACTTTATATCCTTGAAAGCTGTTTATGATAAATAGTTTCCAGCACGAAAATCCAATTTTATGAACACTAATTCTTTCCATTAGATTTAACAACTATTTGGGAAAAAAATTAAAATTAATAATTAGAGAGAGAGAGAGAGAGCATACCTTTAATCTACTTTTGAGTGGAATATGTTTTTCATGAGATATGTATGAATTGAATACAATATAAGTCTTATTTGCAGCGATATATAGTGTCGACGATATATAGATTACGAATAATAGTAACACTATAAATACAATTGTAACATATAATAATATTATTTGGATTATTGTATTATTTTCTAAAGATTGAAATAAATGCAAAAAGTATGTAATCATTATACTAAATATAAACCAAAAAGCAAGCAAATATTTACACCAATAATGATTGTTATATTCATTAATTTCCACATAAATTGCATTCAAGTCTCGTATTGTTTTTGATATAAATAAGTAATTTTGAAAATAATTAAACACTATTGACTCGTTTAAACGCTTTTTGATATTGCTATTTACTAATTGAATCTTTGATTTCAAATAAAACGCCAAGATGAAATAATAAATTGTGTGATAATTTAGCGAGTTAAACATATAAATAGCGAAGAGAACATTATTAAAGAGATTAGGTATACCAATTAATACAAAATCAACTAGTTT